TTTGTAGTTATACTTTAGTTTGTAGGTCCACATCAGCTTTTTAGCTGCCTTTTATTATATGGCTCTGTCTCACAAGTACTGGGAACTACCCAATTCATGAATATGATTGGCTGAAATCGATATTGAAAGCAGTCTAGATTTTCCCATCTAGAACAGCACCTAGACCGATAATGTTTAGCAGTGAAAAAGTTACAAACTGAAATACAAAATTATTGTCTATTTTCTTCTAACAATACTTATTTATGGAAGTGCTAAAAAGTCTGATGAGAAAAAAAGTAAAGAGGATGAGCAAACTTTGGCAGAATTAAGCTCAGCTCATTGCCGTTCGCAAGCAAAATGACAGCTGGTACAAACCAGTTACCTTAAAGAACTTAAACTGTTCTTGTTTGCCATATAATAAACATCTTATTAACCGAGCTCAGTTGGTCTGTATGGAAGAATCTTGACCTCGGTTGTGTGTCCAGACCTCACTACGTTCGGTCTGTACTCAAGACCTCGGTCACGATTCTCCCATACAGACCTCCTGCTCAGTTATTAAGAGCTAATTAATGACCTTATGTATGTGTACTGGTACATGATTACAAAATATCTGAAATATTATCCTTTTGAGTGGAAGTTGTGAATTTTCATTCGATAATTGAGACTCATTACTTGACTAGAATTGGGCTATTCCATTTAATATCTGTACTCAGAAATGGCCATTAAAGACTCCCCCCTTCCCCTCAGATTTCTTAGACTTTCAAAAGGGGGGGGGGAGAGATAAAAAAAAACGGAATGGCCCATTAAAGGCAATGGGTGTTTTGTCTGGGTTTAGTTGAGAGCTAGTGCCTGGGATCAACTCATGTTCAAGGAAGGGGGGGAGTTGGGTGGAGTGCTCTTCGAAAAAAAATTAATACGGTCAATCTGTAATGGGGTTTAATAAAGGTAACAATAACAAATTTGGCAAATCTATGTCAGGGACTTTCTTTCACTTTTCCTTGACAGAGCAGTTAATAAGTTGTATAAAGAATCTTGTATTTTGTATATAATTTATTGTTCAGAGTACATGCGGTTTATTTCTTTTTACAGAAATTCTACTCCCAGTTTCTTGTTATCTTTAATACGACTTCTGAAGAGCAAGGTAATCATACCTGATAAATGTTGATAGTTTATAAAGTATTTCATTAATTTGTTAATTTATAAATATTTAAAATTTTCTGTGTGGTATTCTGTTTCTTCTCAAAGAGACCATACATTCTGTAAGTTTTTTATAATGTGAAACATCCCATGATGGAAACCCAAGTTCTGTATCCCATTTCTTGCTGTCAACAACCTTTCCTCACAGTTAATTAAATTGTCAAAAAGAATAGCCTGCATCATCTTCACTCTGCAAAGGATTTGAAGACAAGTAAGGAGCTTTACGCCACAGAGATTAAGAGTGAGAAGAAAATGATCTAGGATCTTGTAAAAAATTTAACAGATAAGTGTTGTAACTTTAGCTAACTTCTCCACGGAAAATTTGTTTGTCTCTCTTCAATTTCCACAGAATCTGCACTATGCCAAAAGGGATTTGTTCTGAAGACTACCAAAGATGATCAGGAAATTAAGTACATTATTTACAGCAAGAACTTTTGCAGGTACATGAACATGTAAGCATATTTTAAGCATCACATAGCCCTAGCCAAGTTCTAGCCCTACTGGTCTCTTGCATACATTAAATCCGCTTATCTAAAACAAAGGTATGGCAGAGGTAAAGAAGAGGAGGGACGCAGTGGCTGTTACAATATCATGCTTCAATAATTTGGTGATTGGCGTTATCTTAAAAGAAAGCAGTTTCATCCTAAATGCAGACTTACAAAATAGATACAAGCATCTTCTGGTCCCTTATGTATGAG